ATATCATCGCGTGTTCCATTCATCGCAAAATGGTGTTTTCTTCCTGTAATCTAACTCACGTGTCCATTTGTCGCGCTCATCTGTCTGTGTTTACGCGTATGTCGCGAGTGATACGTGTTAATTAGCGTCGCAAAGGCCGATATCTCGTTTCGGTCAATTCCATCAGAAGCACTTAATCCGATTACCGTGGGCCGTGCGCTGTGTTAAGGATCGTGTTGCTCGTTAAAACCTGTTCCCCGTCGCGAAACACCGACAGGAAGAATCGTTTCCTTCCCGCGCTTCAACATCGAGACGACAGACAGTCGCTTCTCGATATCGACCGAGGTATTCCGCGCGCATCATTCTCCACCCCGTTCCATCTTATTACGAAACGCTCGGGTTTCATGAAGAACGAAGGAAAATCGACACGCGAGAATGAAGAGATCGACGACACTTATTCCCTAAGTTTGCCCACGCGCGCAATAATACACGGAGAGAATGTTTTCTTTTTTTCTCATGTAAATTCTTTTCAATTTTGCTGTGTTTTTAGTAGTCCGGATGTCAGTAAGATCTCGCTAAAAAACATGGTAAATTTCGTTAGAAACACAACAGATTTCGCTAGAAACGTATACGGGGAGAAAACATTTGTTTGAATTAACCGAATTTTTTATTAAAAATCGAACCAAAAAATTCCAGCAGAAGTTACCGAAATTCTTTGGTTCGTTGATATTTTAACAGAAATCTCGTTGACCTAATCACACTTCTTTTTCCGTGTAGCAAATGTTTTAGTAGCGTATTTCCGTTGCTAAAATAATAAGTAGCACGTATTGAGTGAATTACTGCAGAATGTCATAAAATTCCTCGGTCATAAAATTCCACAGTAATTCCACAAAATTCTCTCCATGCACGTTCGGTCGATGCGTGATCCATTGATTGTCGTGTTTGAGAATTCGCGGTACGAGACGCAGCGATCTCCTGCGAACGCTAATGGAGACGAAATTTAACAAGCTTGTTAAGAAAGAAAAAAAACACGGATCGTTACGCGAAATAAGAGTGACTCTTTTCCTTCCTGTCTGACTGGCACATACAGCGATTTCAATTGCTCGGCCGGGGAGCATCGTTACTTTGCGATTTCACATCTGCTTGACGTAACGTCCGTCACGTAACCGGTTGAAGACAAAAGTATCGCGAAATCATTCGATCTGCTGACTCATTTGTCCCGTCCTCCCTCGTGATGTCGGCGTATCGATCGTTATTAGAGTCCTATGAGGATTTCACATCCATAAAAATCATAAGGATACCGTGCGTTTCAACGGGTTAACTAATCAACGAGAATCCATGTTGAATTCGCAGGTGCGCAAGAGGGAATCCGTATGCTAATTTGCTTTTCCGCGAACTCCATAGAGACAGAAAAAGTCTTCCTTGAATATTCCCGGAATTATATATTTGCGCAAGAAGAGAGGAGGAAAAACGCACGAGGAATATTCGAATCCTCATCCCCCGGTATCACGTGGTAGGTCGCGCTCTCATTATCTCATTAACGTAAACACCGTCATTTTTGTTGGATCGGCGTGCGTGTGCGAAGGTCGGGGGGGATATAATCCGGCCGAACTAAAAATAAAGAGTGCCCCGTGCAAGAGTCGAGCAATCGGCCATCGGCCCGTCTAGACGAGCGAATCCGAGCGTCTGCCAACACACGCATCGTCAGAAACGACCCGTTCTACACTGTCTGTCTTATTTAGTTATCCACCTAGGTGGGATCCAACGGGATTCTCCGGCGCTCTCGAGATATTGATTCTCTCGAAACCGACGTGGGTCGTGATTCAGCGGGAGATAGAGAGAGAGAGAGAGAGAGAGAGAGAGAGAGAGAGAGAGAGAGAGAGAATGTTCTCGGTTTCTCCTTCTTGTCTCTCCTGCCAACACACCGACAAGAAATCGTCGGAATGTCGCAAAACCAACAAAATTTCCCGAACATCTTGAATTGATGAGAACGCAACAAAGCTCCATCGATATTTGTGTCTCACGAAATGAATACACGAAATTCGTCGCCGCCGACGAATCGAAAAGCCACGGCACTTGTCTCTCTCTCTCTCTCTCTTTCTCGCCCCTCACCCTTTCTGTTTGTCTTTCTCTCTCTCTCTCTCTCTCCGTTTCCCTCCTAGCGAGAATGCGCGAGCCGAGAATAACCGGGACTTAATTAACACGCGCTGACACAGCGTAGAGAACTCGTGCCCCGAGTATATGTCTGCGTCCCTCTCCACCAGATGTTAACCCTTTCGTGTGCTTTCCTACGCATTCGGATCGCGAGAACGGCATCGCCGAAAATACATCTCGACTGTGCGAAGGGGACAAATCGTGTACCCGCAGCACCCATTCGTCGTGGTTTCGGTACAGTCACTTTCAAGTTCGCACAAAGTCAGTGGAAGAAAAAGATCGCAGTGTTTTGTTCGCGTAGAGTTTGTTTCGCGGTAATTCTTAGAAAGTAAATTTTCGCCGTTGGATCATCGAATGTTCATTGAGATTTATCGAAAGGATGGTGTATAAGGCTATGTATAGGTTAAGATACACCGAAAAAGCAAGGAAAATAAAAAGGAAAGGAGTTAAGGTTTAAGAAAAATAGGTTAAGATGACGAAAAGGAATAAAGATAAGGCGTGTAGAAATAAGAAAAAATAAGGAATATATAAACCGAAAATCTTCCTGGTTGTGTAAAAGTTGAAAAAAAAAGTTGAAAAATAAAGATACATTAAAATTTATCGAGCTGAGAATGTTCGCGAGCTTCCTCCATGAACTTACGGAGAATTAGTCGCTTAAGTGATATACCCGGAAGAGTTCTGTGAATGAAAACATTGAATTGCTTTCGATAAATTATTGTATCCTTCCCTAATTTATAGCGAATACAAATTACATTTTGTAGCCTATTTTTCCAAATTCTTAAAAAAGACAATAGAGAGAAAAAAGCCAGATATGCTAAAAGAAAAAGTGTCCTGAGTGAAAATCGCGGTTATTTTAAATTACCACCAAAGAGGTAAAACGCGTATTGGATAAAACAGGCGGAAGGGGAGGACGAGAACGCACAGAAATTTCGTCATTAGCATATAAAACGAAGATGGCTAATTAAATACACGAGCGACACAAATACACCGATTTTCTGGCACTCTTCTAGCGAGCCGCGCGCACGGAAGAAGCAATTGCGTTGGTGCAACTGAATTCTTTGCTACCCGGGGACCAGACGAAAGCTCGGCTGTAAGAACGGAAACACTCTCGTGGCAGATTTTTACGCAGTCAATTGTTCCTATCTTAACCGAGTTTCAACGCAGTTGGCTGCCTCAGACGAATGTTTTCGGTAACAGTTAAGCTTGATCTGCAATGTGCTCTACGCTTCTTCTACTTCTTTCTGTTCATCTCTTTTTGACTCAAATCTTAAGCCTCAAGCCAGAAGGAAAACAGAGAACGAGAAACAAGAAGCAAAGAACATATTGTAGGTTAGGCTTTAAAGAAACATCAGCGACTTCGTCTGGTCGCCGTTCAGTTAAACGAACCGGCACTTCTCGGCCCGCGCAGATGATGATCGATTGATTCCGCCTCGCGAGAGAGCGACCGGAAGAGAGCTCTCCAGAACGGTGTCGTGTCTCTCTGTCATCTTGACACTTCAGTCAGTCCCGTAAGAAATGCAAGTCGCGCCTACGATATATCTCCACCGCGTTGCCGATCATTTTCAACTGGCGCGAGGTGAACGTTAACGGTTAATGAGTCCGCGTTGAGTGGCATCCGCGCGACCGGCGCTACGTGCGCTGCACTATCGCCAGATGATCGATAACGCACACCTAATAACGTAGAAGCGAAAGCACACTTCGCTCCGAGGTGTGCGCGATCGATCCGTCACACAGCCACAGTTGGAGAGGCCCGACATTCCCCGACGCGGGATTCTCATTCCCATTGAATCTGCACGTGCACTCTCTTCAAGTGAATCAGCACAAATGTTTCCGATCGAATCAGCGAAGGGAGCACTTGGCCGACAATCAGTGAGAGATGTTCACCGATCTTCAGCGCAAACACTCCTCTCACTTTACCGCTTCTTCTGTCTCACCAATTTCGACCGGCGAATGTGAAATTTCACCGTAACGTCTGTGCAGTGCACAAATACGTTGCACGTTGTGGCAGATCCAACTTCCTGCGTTTCTGAATGCGATGGAATTGGCGCTCTCCATGTGATTTACGTGCAACGACACTGTCCGTGTCTGCGAGCCGCGTCAATAATAGCATCAGTCGCTGCTATTGACTGATTCTTTCAACGAGGTTTTACCGATTGAAGTATGTTGTACTTGTAACTGAACCGTCAGTTGCACGCACAGCATTTCAGTGAGGAATATACTGATTGCATTTTAGAAAGTAACGTCGCGGGAAAGCGTCCACCGATCCTTGCCCCTTTCCTGCCCTAACCCCGAATTTCCCCATATTGTTCTCGTGATAAGCGATTTTCTGCGATTGTCGCGTCTTGAGGCCGCGAATTTCGATGAATCGCGACTCGGCCCACCTAAGAGAGCAAAGCCGGGATCGCGGGGAGATCCAACCGCGAGATTCCGGTTTTCAGTCGAAATCAATGTCGGTCGCATGTAGGTATGTGTGTATGTGTGTTCATGTGTACATACGTAGGGTATGTATCTATGTGTCTTCGTACGTGCATGACATGCGCGAGCGGTTCGCAAGGACGAAATCGTCGGCTTGCATGCAATCTCGTCGATCGGAAACGATAAGAAACGACGCTCTTCAACGTGTCTTCAGCGTCGATTAACCTTCACCGCGGATTGCGTATCGGCCGCGGGAGATCTGGCTCGCGATCGGTCGAGCCGCGCTCCAAGTCAAGCGACGTTCATGTCAACAGTCATCGATCACATTGGCCTGGTCGGACCGAGACCTTCCGTCCGACGGGCGCGCGTCGTCGGGCCTAGTCGAGTTAGGTAAGACACACTCGCACATTCTCTACCCACGTACTATACGAAGACCGTGTCCGGTCGGGACTTGCGTGATGCAAGTTTATGGAGCCGTGACGATGAGACGCGACGAGAGAGACGAACGAATCGTCGTCGCCGTTGCGGCTGGACGATCGCGCGTCTCGCTCTGCAATCGTCCAGCGGTAACAGCAAAGCGAGACGCGCGACTGTCCGATCGAACGGCAACAGAACAGGTCAGTTTCGCGGGTTGTCGTCGTCATTGTCGTCGTCATTGTCGTCGTCATCGTCGTCGTCGTCGTCGTCGTCGTCGTCGTCGTCTCCTTACGCAGGCCGACAGTCCTAAATAGAGAGTGGCTCTTCATCGCAACGGTGCACGAAGCCGTGCTGTTGTTGTTGCTGTTGTCGCTGCTGCGGCTGTTGCAATAGCTGGGGTCATCCGCTGGTCTGCTCCGGCAACAGTATGCTGACGGACTTGCGGTTCGCCGTTGCGACGGCGTGGCCATTCGCGGCCAGTGCGGACGGCGGTGGCCGATGGGAAGGAGCGACCACGCGCACCTCTGGCCTCGGGGAGGCCTCTCGCAGCGGGCTACCCACAGCGCCCACCAGCTCCTCGGGGTTCGCCAGTGCCGACGGTCTGCAACGACCACGTGTTCGTTCGCATTGGCCGCGTCAAGTGAGTTCTCAACAACGGAACACTGAGCTTGTCCTATCGCATATAGTGGGGCCATTTTATCGTTTTCGACTAGACGTAACTCAAGATAAACAAATTTAATCGTACACGTGGGAAAAGAAAGGAGGATATGACTTTTAGGCGATTTGGGGACCGCTAGGTGAACGCAAATTTCCTATTTTTTCTTTCGTATTTTTTCCCATAAAATTAAAAAATCGACCTTAAAATTGCGCCAAGTAAATGGAAAAATAGTTATAGACATTTAAACGTTGATTTTCCCTGAAATTCATGCATTTTTCAACACTACTATCTTAAATACCTTTGACCTTTTTAGAGGTGCTAACTCTCACGTTATATAGGAGACTTATTTTCTCAAAACTTGGTAATTTTTGGCCGATTCTCGGGAGCTACGCCTTCTATCTTCCCCTTGCCGCGAGCGGGCCACAAAAATGACGGTCGCGGCCAGTCGCGGCTTCAAGCTTGGAGGCTCGACCGTCACTTATAAGTCTAATAAGTCTCCTATGTAACGTGAGATTTAGCACCTCTGAAAAGGTCAAAGGTATTTAAGATGGCAGTGTTGGAAAATACATGATTTTCAGGGAAAATCAACGTTTAAATGTCTATAACTATTTTTCCCTTTACTTGGCGTAATTTTAAGATCGATTTTTTTTAATTCTACGGGAAAAAATACGAAGGAAAAAATAGGAAATTTGCGTTCATCTAGCGGTCCCCAAATCGTCTAAAAGTCATACCTTCCTTTGGTTGGTTCAAATGTGTCTGGTGAAGCATGAACGAGCTAGAAATTCCGGCAACATCAATTGACATTTCTTGCTCGTTTATATTTCCAGACATTAGTCAAATTTGTTTCTTTCGTGTAGATTGAATTTTGCTTATATTAAATTAAATTGTGTCTCATAAATTGTAAATTACATTTAATTTTGTGCTTATATAAATTACAAATTGTGTTTACGCGACGCGCAATTTTAATAAGATTAATTTACAAGTATGTTTATTGAGTTAAATCGTATTGACAGTTTAATTGCACGTTATATTCACAATATATTTTCCCAACGATTTCGATTATTGACTTCCTGTCAGCTTCCATTTGGATAGTTTTAGCCCCACTGCGTGTCGCTGGACAAGTTTTTCATGCGGATTCATGCATTGGGATTGTTAACACGTTGATTGCTGCATTTGTTGTCGTTGATTACGATTATGCAGAAGCTTGGCTGATGATCGAATTATTAAAGAAATTCGGTGAAAAAATCATTCAAGACGCACACATCTTTCCTTTCGTTAAAAATAAGTACAAATCTATTTAAAATATATACTAAATCCTAGTAAATTCAGCTTTTCAGCCAAGAGTATTAAATTAAAATAAAAATTCGGTTTGCCTGCTTACACAGAGTCGAGCGAACTTTATCTTCGATAAGGCTTTATAATATTCTTGTGAGAAAAATAAACTCTTCTTTTGAATATATGATAGAAAATTTTTCTAAAATTTGCGATGAGCAATTGTGATATGCAATTTTAAGACTATTATCAAGAAAATATTCCTTAAAATTTGTTAGAGATAATAAAGATTACTTAAAAGAGCAAAAGTAAACTGAGCAATCGCTTTCCTTAACAGCAGAACATCTTCCTGCGTGCAGTGTCATAGCACCGGCACTCAACGTGTCAACGGAGGTGCAGGGAGATAGGAAAGCACAAAAAATTCTGTCGGAACCTTTCGATTTCGTGTTCGTCAGCGGACAGACTCTGACTACGTAGACTCCAGTAAATTACGTTTATACCGGTAATTCGAATTCGCAATTAAATTGCGGCCATTTCCGGATCCCCAATTTTACTATTTTCCTCTCTCTCCCTCTCTCCCTTTGCCGCACAAGCGTTTGATTTATTTCGCGCGGCGCGTCAATCAGAGCTGTCCGATATTTATTCGATAGCGAGGTGCAGGTAAATATAAACGAAATTCACATACCTGTGCTGCGGAGGTGGCGTGGGAGTTCGCGACAGGGGGAAACTGGCGACTTCTCTCGTCACCGAGAGAGACCGGATCGATCCGAATGTTTGGTCCGGCGATAAATTAGCACCGACGCTCTGCACCATGCCGCTACTGAAACATAAAGGCATCGGTTGATTGCTGATTAGCCTGCTCGCAAGGATGTATAATGGTCGCAGATATAAGCGGTTAGACTTTGTTACGCTGAAGAATGGAAGTTCGAGACTTTGCACGCTCTTTGGGACTTAATTAGAATGCAAGTGTGTGAATGCTTGATTAACGTGGTGCATGAGATTGGAATAATTTCAGTGTATTGATTTAAGTATGGGAGTCAGATAGGGGAAATTATGTAGAAATGGGTGTGTAGATAGTGTATAAGTGAAGGCGAAACAAGGTGTTAAGTAGGAAAGCAGGATTCAGGGAGGAAAAAGTGCACAGCTAATAGACGTTTAAGAAACAGGTAGTTAGGATGGGTAATGCAAGTAAGCTTAAATTAGTATGGTAATGTAGAGAAATTTATTGATAAAGAGGAAATATGTATAATAGATGGTAATAGAAGACAAAAGTATACAAAGGATGGAGGAAGAATAGGATATAAGAAATGAAGATGAAAGATTTGACCATCAGATGGAATAGGGAAGTAAAATAAAAGTATACGGAAGGATGAACTGGTGAGACAGAAGATGTGTATGTGTGTGTATGTGTGTATGTGTGTGTAAATGTGTGAGTAAGGCTGTCTGAGAAGATTGTAAGAAGATTGAAGAGCAAAGAATAAGAGGAAAGTTATAGGATATGGGAAACTTCTCGGCGATGTAACTTGAAGACATATAGTAAATGAAGAAAAAGCCAAAAGAATTATCTCATGGAGTTAGAGTAGGAAGTATATAATGGAGTAATGGAATTAACAAGATATAGAAGAAAATTAGGCGGAAAAGAGAGGATAAAGAAGAGAAATCAGGAGAAGAGACGGGATAGGAACAGGGAAAGAGGTAGATGTGATAGGAATAGATAAAGAGATAGATATGTACAGAATATGTGCTGAAGGGAAGGATAGAGTTTGGAATATTGTGTATGACAGGACGATATGGTACCTGCTGAGTGAAATAGAAAAGTGTAATTAGATCTGATAGATAGAGAAAAAGTGTAGGTAGTGTAAAAGTTAGGTGAAAATTAAGATGATTGTGAGTGGAGGTTACAAGGGCATTTAGATAACGAGAATAATGTCAATTAGAGAGAGGCAATGTAACTATAGTGACTAGATAAGCAGAAATAAAAAATGCACGATTGTGTGTGACTGAAGAATATAACTGTAAACAAAATCTCTTTCTTGGCTATGTAAGCTGGAGGAAAATATGATACTGATACTGATCAGCCTGCTCGCAAGAAATGTGCCGCGCTTTGTCTCGCGTGCGTGTTCTCTCGAAGTCTCTCCTCAAATATGAGTCAACATCGGCTTTGTTTTGTCGCGTAGACTTCCGCGAAATGTGAATCACTTATCTGAAGCAATTGGACAAAGTAGAGGTCAACGAAAGAGAACAAAAGAGAGAAAGAGAAAAAGAGAGAGAGAGAGAGAGAGAAAGAAAGAGAGAAAGAGAGAAGATAAGATAAACAACTCATCAATCAAGAAACCGCTGTCGAAAGATTCCGAGGATCTTCAGAGAACGAATTCTCGATCTTACTCTTACTTCAGAGGTATTCTCGTTTGAGAACAAACTCCAATCTCTATCGGGAATAAGTTTTGAGAAACTTCATAAAGATTGGCAACTGCGGAATACGGTAAAGCGAGCGGGAACTTTGTGTCGGTGATATCGCAGCGGGTTTAGTTCGCCACACTACCCGGCCGAATGTCAGACCTCAATAAAATATACTTAATGATCGCGCGATGACGCATCGTGACCGTTTTTTTATAATGGTTTTTCTAGAATTTTACGCTCCGTTGTCCATAGCGTGCACGTACGCGCAAGAGAGAGAAAGAGAGGCGCTCTACCACGTTATTATGAGAACGTGATTAATGTTAGATACAAGACACGTTAATCTCTCTCTTCTCTACCGTCAAATTGTACACGTCAAATCGAGTTATGAGAACCGTCGGACGTCGACGTCGTGTCACTCATGGAGAGGACACGTGACAGTCGCAAATGTACCGTTCCTCTCGTAGAAATTGACCCACGTGCGTACTTGTTCTCGTCAAAATAAAAAAAAATTAATGAAGCAATTCAAATGAAGCATTTTAGTAGATAGGGAACGAGTAATTTTGCTATGTTGATATCAAAGAGACTCCAATGAATTCGATCAAGCAAATCGACCTAACAATTCGAAAAAGGTTAGAGAATATGAAAAGCTTAATCATTCAGTTTATTACAAAGGGGATGAAATTAGAAGGAGAGGGTGGGGTGTTCAAATTTCGTGGTAGTCTATATTTTCCGCGCGTTTCCTAGAGAGTAATAGTTTCTCTCCGTGACCACATAACTTATAGCAATTATTTCTGTATCTGTGATTATAATTTATAACCAAAATATATTTATAACCAAAATTCTTTCCCCTCAACGCACATATCACAGATTTTACGGACGTACGAAAGACACAAATACACGACTTCGTTGCTTTTCTAGACTCGAGATCAAGTATAAAGTAGTATACACGTGTCACGGATTTACGTACAGGTATACGCCTTTTACACGAGTCATTTCTCTCTTTCTCTCCCTCTCTATCTATCTCTCTCCCTGACCGGCTTGCGCCGTTAACATTCATCAAGCGTCAACTGCCTCCTGGATTTCCGAGTGGTGCAAAGAGCTAATCGATAGCTTCGATAGGCACGACACGGCCGCTATAGGCAAGCCTACGCGTTCAATTTGCCTCCGCGCGCATCTGTGCCCTTCGTCGTGCGAGAACGTCCTGTCCTGGTCCCACGTTCTACAAAAGTCGCGACTATTTTAAGATCGGAAGCACGACTTCGCGAGAGAGCGAAGAGGCGTGACATCAATCGCGATCTTGCGTCAAAGCTGACCACAAAAGTCGTTTCCCCGACCCTAATTATTTCCTAATGCAATTACAGCTAATGATCGTTGGTATCTCCCGCGTTTATCCCGTGGCATGGCACGTGGGCCGCTTGTCGCGGATGGGTTCCGGAATATTGCGCGCCTCGCGCACGACTATTCGCGAAACGATTACCGGATCGAAGGCGATGGGACGGGAAATAGTTGACCAAAGTGGATAGTTGTCGATATTGCAGCCGGAGGGCGACCGGGCGCCACGAGATGCCGCGGGCCATGAATTATTCATTCGCCCCGGGGCCCGACTACGTCAAGACACGCATGTTGAAGTTATATGGCGGCCGACTAAAGCTCGCCATGCCGCTCGCGTTCGCCACGTGAATGCGCCCCGAGTTTCAGCACGGGAAAAAAAGATTTGCTAATATATGGATAAAATATTAACTGCTGGAGCAAATTTTCTTGCTTTCATAGCAAAGTTATTTAGTTGTGATAGCTAAATAACTTTGCTATGAAAGCAAGAAAATTTGCTCCAGCAGTTAATATTTTTAGTTGTTCATATATTAGCAAGTCTTTTTTTCCGTGAGGGGTTGCAGCGTGGAACGCGCGGAAACATCCGACGAGAGGACGGACGAAGGTTCACTGCGAGAAAGAGGTGTGATACTTGGAAAGGTTCCGAGATAAATACAATCAAATAAACCTGTTAGGAAAAGTCGGTAAAAGCTGAAGGTATTGATTGTAATATTGGTGACTATATAATTGCATAGAGACACGATCACAGGATTACAATTTCTGTAGCGATTATATTATATGCTATTATAGTTAATGATGCACACAGAGAATTTTACGGTAAAAGTTATATACTGTATAATTTTGCAATCGAGGAACAACTCGACATCCTGCAATAATTTATTATCCTTTTATTCCATATGCGCTGTTCATATTTTACGAACTGAAATGTGCTATTAAATTTAATGTTTTTAGCAAAATTTGCTATGATTCTTAACCCTCTTCAATAAAATCAATAAAAATGCCTTTAAATGTGGCTAAGCATTCTAATTGAATTCCAGTCAGTCATTTAGAAGCATTTTTGTCGATAAAACAAAGTTCAGAATAAAGGCCTATGTTTTTAATTTACTGTATTTCTTAGCAAAACGGACCTCACTGACAACTCATTTTTTAAAATATAGTAAAATTCAACAGAATTTATATGAAAAAAAACTGCATATATAATATTTTCTCCAATTAGCGATAATAATTTAGTATGCACATTGCAACTACTATTTTGTTGAAAAAATACGTCGAGAATGATTTTACTGAAAATAATTTTTTTCCTCTCAAGGTCTCTTTTTCCGAAAAAACCAATTCACAGAACTTCCGGCATCGGGAGAACGAAATTCCGGATGGTTCGTCAAAAACGCTAAAATTTTTATCCACCGAGATATCGAGAGTCGATACTGACGCACATTCGCAGGAAATTACGACGGGTCATCGGCGAATTAAAGCGTATATTGACTAGCCTAGGCTATAAACCTTGCGCGGCTTACGTTATCGTTGGCTATGTTCGTCGCGAGGCTGGATATAGCGTCCGATGAAATATGTATAAAGACGGGCGGATTATTTTTAGCGATCTCGCGCGCGCGGCCTTTGCATGAGCGACAGTCGATACGGTTTTTTTTTTATGTCGAAAAAGGGAGCACTCTGCGGCGAGAGTGCGTTGTCCGTGAAATGGTCGCGTTGGGCTCCAAGGGTCTCGGCAAGAATCGCTGACTTCGGTTCTCGCGATCCGGATTTAATTCGAGGTGAGATGGGATCTCCCGATTAAAAAGACGAGGGAGACGAACTTGATTCCCACCGCAACGAGAAAAACAAAGGGCCAGGCCGATAGAATTGTGAACTCGCACTCCTGAATCGTGATATCGAACTTCAGAAACTCGTTATTCACTGCTGCACTTTGCACACGCGCGCGTGTTTGTAAAGCAGCGATTAATATTTTCAATGATAATACGGCGCGAAGTTTGCAGTTCCTCGGGGCCCTTCCTCTTGTCGAGCTTAGCGTAGTGCAAATTGACTCTCGGCATTAGACGCTTCGTTGTCTTTGCACAGGGCAGGGAATCGCGTTTCAACTCACCTAACAGAGCCCGAAGTCACCAGGAAGGGCATGGGCGTCGGGCACGGGCTCAAAGGCGAGCTGCTCACGGAACTGCGAGTGCTGCTCAGAACGGAGTGCGGACACTGCGGCGGGCCTGCGTGCGCTCCGCCGGCACCACTTCCGCCCTTGTTGGACGCGCGGCCCTTCAGACACGGGATCTTCGGCCACCCGCTCACGTCCTTGCCAGATACCCCTGAAACAACATGTGGATGTTTGCGTTCGAGACTCAAGCGCTTCATGAGAGAATAAGGGAATAAGAAAATCAGTTAGTTGGCATGTTTACTGATTATCACATCGACTGAACGAATAAACCAATCAACTACCCAAGTAAGAAAATTGTCCGGGAAAACCTGACCAGAAACTAAGCAAGCTAATTATTAGGTGGTAAACTTAGTTCCTGCGGTTTTCTTGTTTAAAAAACTCATTTATTTCAACATCAAAAGCAAAAAATACATTAATCGAAGTATTTTTCCTCGCTAGCTATACATTTTTCCTATCTTTCGGGCAACGCGTAGATTCCGCGACGATAGAACGATTGGTTTTTTGATGCAATCCATTCGTCGATCCATTTTCGCACATCCTCGTAATTTCTGAAGTGTGTATCCACCAAGCCGTGCTGCATCGACCGGAACAAGTAATAGTCCGAAGGAGCTAAGTCTAGTGAATACGCTGGGTGCGGGAGAACTTCTCACTCGAGCTGCATCAGTGTTTCTTTGACGGCTTTGGCAACGTGTGGTCGAGCGTTATCGTGCAAAAGCATGACTTTACGTCGATTGCTGGCTACTGCTGGCCTTTTTTCCAACAATGCTTCATTCAGACGGTTTAATTGTGATTGATATCGATCCCCCGTGATACTTTCGTTCGGTCTGAGTAGCTCATAATAAACGACGCCGTGCATATCCCACCAAATGCAAAGCATTGCTTTGTGGCCATGAATATTTCTCTTTGGTGTGGATGTCGATGGTTGGCCAGGGTCTACCCATGATTTTCTTCGTTTAGGATTATCGAAGTATATCCATTTTTCATCGCCAGTCACTATGCGCCACAAAAAACTCTTCTTTTTCTGCCTGGCGAGCAGAGAAATAGAGATGTTTAAGCGATTCGCAATGGCATTTGCGGTTAATTCGTGTGGTACCCATTTTCCCTCCTTTTGAATTTTTCCCATTGCATGTAGACGTTTGGAAACAGCCATCGGAGTAACATTTAATGCTGCAGACAATTCTTGGAGCGTTTGAGTAGAGTTTTCGTCCAATAATGCCTGCAAATCGGTGTCTTCAAACTTTTTCGGTTGGCCTGAGCGTTCTTTATCATTGACATCAAAATCACCACTCTTAAATCGCTGAAACCATACTTGGCATGTTCTTTCCGATGGAGCATAATTGCCATAAGCTTCGAAAAGCAATTTATGAGCTGCAGCTGCAGTTTTTTTCAAGTCAAAGTAATGAAGCAGCACATGTCGAAAAAACAACTTATCACGTTCCATATTTAATCAAAAGAAAAAATAGCACTGCTCGCTTAAATGAATCTCTTCGCACTGAATTTTATTGACAAATGTCTAACCTCTAAAATGCAGCCAGTTTCAGATGTCAAAATAAATTACACCTACAACTAACGTCATCTAACTGTGAGCCGCAGGAACTAAGTTTACCACCTAATAAAAATAAAGCTACAACTGCTGAATGAATTTGCACGTGAAACTCTACCTTCTGAAACATGAAACATGATATTATTTTTATATTGTATGAACAATGTGAAATATAATATTTTACGATGCAAGCGATGAAAACTATTTGATTTGATTTTGTGCAAAAAAAAAGCGTTTGATTGGAAACTGGCCAGAAACTAGCCAGGAATCAAAATTACTAGCCCGGCCAATTACTAGCTAGGAAGAGGTCGCCCTTTTTACTTGGGTAACCGCGAAAGAAATGGACGATTTCATTAAAATTATAAGTCATTTCCGGCACCAATCGATTTTTCTTGTTGTCCAAGAAAGTAAAAGAGAAACGCTACGCTTCTCGTCCCGGTCTTGTTTGTTGCGTACCGGTATAGCTGCGTTTGAATAGAATCAAAGTTTATTGGGGCAATCGGCAGAAAAAGAAAAGGAAAACACCCGAAGCAAACATTCTGGAGAGTAACGGTTTGGCCAAGGACGATTGTTGCTTAATTGGCCGACCGGGCATCGCCGAAATCAGGTCGTGCCGCTTTTAGCGAAGACCAGGAGACTAAATCTACCAGCTAGCTTGTCGTTATGCCGTATTAATCACCCGAGTTATCCACGCTACACCGTGGATAGGCCACGCGCGGCCACCCCGAGAGCGTATAATAGCCTGACCTTCCGACGAAATAATATATCTTGTCGGATTTTGGCGGACGGCACGCGAGCGACGCGCAGCGCGAACGCAACATCCCCGTGGACGATCAATTGGACACGTTGGAACGATGAGTGGTGTTTGAAAAATCGCGAGACATTCCCGGGGAAATGGAATAGCACGAGGTCTTTGCGTTGGGACGATTCTCTGGATCGATTATTATTAAAATAATTATTGTTCTAATCTTTAGAAGTTAAGTAGGATAAGATATGGATGAGTATTATTAAAGGATAATTTTGTAAACCAAGTCTCTTCTTGGCACGCAAGCCAAATAAGTAAATAAATATTGATTGTTAATCTTTGGCTTTATTAATTAATTTAATTTAAATTTTTACGATTCTTTTCATTCGTTTAGCTTCTCCCATTCCAGGGTATTACCTTGAGGTATTAAGCATTGTATTTTTTTATTTTGCTTCCTCTATTTTAATAATAAAAAAATTAGGTTAATTGCGGATATTATAACTTGGAAATTGTTTTAATATCCTCGATATCAGGAGGCTCTGCGAGTGCATTTTGGGCTTGTTCATTATTTGATATTAATCGCGGATCATCCACAAATGTGAAGTGTATTACGTCTTATCAGCGTAATACAGTTATCGTGGCGCAGGTGGCGTTACGTAACTTGACATAGATTATGAGTTTTATCTCGCTGAAGTATAACGTAATAATCGTAGAGTCTGCGTGCTTCGCGTGCCGGCAATATAATTACGATGTTACAATTAATACTTTAATTAATGTCAGCGCGACTTTCTTTAATTACGCAACTGACATTATTCTCTGAAAAAAGACATCATCCTCATTGACATTATTCCCCGGAAAGAATTGCGAGATTACATCTCGACGAATGTTATATTGACGTATTTAATTAGTCTGCTTCGGCTGATTCAACTTTCGAAAATTCTCTCGCGAAATTATGTCGGATCATCAACTCGAATCTGCTCTGGGCAGACTTACCTTTCGATTTTCCGACTGAAATTCTTCTACAAACGAAAACTCCTTGCCAAATTCGGGATCTAAAATTGAACTTTTCCAAACGCGCTTCGAATCTTTAGTTCTTGATGAGAATCCACACAACGTCTAAAATCGGAACATAAGACATAATCTAAAAGACGTCTTAAAGACGTCGAAATATAAAACGTCTTTAAGATGTTTTACGTCCTGATTTTAGACGTTGTGTTATGTGAAAAATGTCCAATTATTCGCAGTCGAGAATCGTCGATCTCTCGTCGTTATCGCTGCGGGAACGTCGCCTCTTTACTTCGTCCGACATGCAGAAAACATCGGATATATCGCTTGGCTAGATACGATAGCCGCACAAACGATTAATGATTTTTCGCCTATACAAAAAAGGGTTCTAGAAATCATAAGGTAAACTCGGATATAATGGCCATACTGGAAAGATGGCCATAGGCTGTAATTTCTCTAATAATTGCAAAACGTTGCGTTTGTGTAATCAGTCACAAAGATAATCAATATTTATCGTAGTGTATGTATGTATATTTTTCGAAATAGCAAGATTATGAATATTATACTATATTTAGTTTCGATTACCTGTAAAATTTCTCATGTATCCACTAAAACTTGCTGTAACGTTGAATAAATTACAGTTAAGCTATCGCAATCAACGTTAGATACATAAAGTAGATATGTAAATTGTAATATAATATGCATTTTTATTTTCATTTTCACTATTTATTTATATAAGTACTATTATAACCGTCTTTCACTCACATTTTGGGTAAGATGGCCCACTATCATTCTAACATTTATAGAACAAAAGTCGTTCTCAAAAATTCTAATCTCAAAAATTACTTTCAATATTACAATAATTAAATCTTATGTGCAATATGTTTTGATCAAAAATTGGATTTAAAATTTGAGGCTTGTAATAGAGGTTTCTATTTTATATGTATTATATTTTTCACAAATAATATGTATTAATAATATGTATTAAATATCCTATACTAAAATGAATATGTCAAATTATGTTTTTTCATTATTTTATAAAATAATAGGTACAGAATCTTGAACATAAAATATGTATGGATCATCTATTCCTTATGGCCATCTTGTCTTAAACATTTAGGTAAGATGGCCAATGCTCATGTTTTGATATTTTTGTAATAAATTTCACTGAAGTATTTTCCTTTTAACTCTAGTATTACGTACTGTAGACTCCAGTGAAGTAATGTGCCAAACGCTATTAAGAAATAACAATAAGAAATGTGTTTTTTTTGCATTTTAAAAAAGTATGGCCATCTTATCCGAGTTTACCTTAGTAATGCGACACGCAAGTATCCTTCTCGGCAGCGAAACGCTAACGAAACAATTCTCGCACGCCTACGAGCTGATCTTAATGAGCCTTCTATAATAAGCATACTTAGTCATAAGCATACATTATTCTTGAAAATAATCGATTGTGGTTGATCAATTGACTAATGATTTATTGTAGAAAGATTTATTGTACGACACGATGCTCGTAGCGAAGAGTAGCGAGCACGAAAAGTGCATAAAACGCTTGTATCGGTCCAGCTGATCTTTTTCCACCGGTTCTCCGAGAGATAAAGTTTTTGCGTTCTTTCTCCCAACCTCCCTCCCTCCCTCGCTCACTCTCTCTCTCCATCGAATAATCGATTTGCATATAATACACAGGACGTACATACTAAGCTAGACTAGGACGGCCGATATGAAACACGGAATGGCGTAAAAAAAGGAAAAACATCGAAGCGATAACATCTAACAGTCATCTAATAGAGTCACTCGGGCCACTTAATGGAATCACAAATCAACCGTTCACGAGGGAAAATCGTTTGTGGTGTGCGTT